AAGCCCCGGCTCCGAAGCCAGCTCGGCTAGACTTGGGGGCCACTAGAGGGCGCCGTTGCCTGCGGTGAAGTTCTCTGCTCAGAACTGAGCAAGGTTCCAGCCCCTAAATCCGCACCCGCAGCCCCCTCCTTTCCCAGCCCTGGGCTCCTGGCCCTCAGTCTCAGCCCCAGGCCATGGCCCCCCCACCCTGCCCCCAGTTCTGCTGGTTCACACTCTGCCCGAGGTTCCCGAGCCATGTGAGGGTTTTGTTGGCTTTGAACAAAGATCCCACAGAGCTTCTACAGTCGTCCCCCCTCCCCATCTGTACTCTGTCCTCTCCGGTCTATTGCACTCCTAGGAATCCCACCCTGCCCTGGATCCTTCCCAGCCCCAGCTGCGGGCACTGTGCTGGTTCACACATTCCCTAGCAAGGCACAGCAGAGGGATCCCCGAGCAGGGTCTGTCTGTGGGGGCCATTCCCCTGCCGAGATCTAACCCCCTCTTCTCTCCCTGCAGAATTGCTGGGATGGAGCCAGGAGCAAGCAGGACCATTCCCTGTCGGAGCGAGCCCTCTCCTTCCGCTCAGCAGCGCTCCCTGCTGGGCCCCGTGCCGCTCACCAAAACCACGCGGGCCGCCACGTTGCGGGACAAAGAGGACGAGATCTTCACGCTCTGATGGGCAGTGTTGTCTTGCCTCTCACGGGCCTGCCTCTCCCCTCCATCCCTGCACATCCATCCGCGGGGGGTGGCACAGGATTGGAGTGGCTGGTTTGGGGGGGCCCTGCCGTGGGCTCCCTGCTGGGCCCCGTGCCGCTCACCAAAACCACGCGGGCCGCCACGTTGCGGGACAAAGAGGACGAGATCTTCACGCTCTGATGGGCAGTGTTGTCTTGCCTCTCACGGGCCTGCCTCTCCCCTCCATCCCTGCACATCCATCCGCGGGGGGTGGCACAGGATTGGAGTGGCTGGTTTGGGGGGGCCCTGCCGTGGGGCCCCAGCCCCCCAGCCGCCCACGTCTTCACGCCAACCTGCAGAGGGTTCAGCTGGCTGCAGAGGACTCGGAGGGGAAGGAGAGGGGGTGTGCACTGAGGTGTGGCATGGGGGTGACTGGCAGAGCACCCCGTTGGGGCAGGGATGTCACTGCAGCCA